ATATTATTTTAGTGCAGCCGTTTCATACAGTAAGAACCGAAACATTAAAAATAGCTATTGGAGTTGGAGATCTTCCTTGGTACCTGTTTAAGTCCCATATGATGCAGGTTCCATCTCTGCTCACACTTATCATTACACTGTATGGTTTGCAGACAAACAAGCTGGTGATCTCTTCCGTGTGCCCATAGAGATGGACCTGAGATTCCATTTCTATCTCTGAAGACTGAAATTAAACATGTAAGTAAAGTGTAAGACAAAAAGAATGACAAAAGGTAGGCTAGTATTTATCTCCAAAATAAAAACAACCAAAGTGACTCAAACATTCTTCTCAAACATTGCGTTTTTCAATCCAATTCAGTTCAACTTCTAAAGAGTAAAACTAAACATTAATTTTTTTTAATTGCCCATAATTTCAACAATATGCTTTTCATTTTTATCTATTCTTGTCCAGTCTTTGTCCAAGTACACATGTATTTTTATAATTGTAACTACTGCTATACAAATAATTTTCTATTTTGTATTTTACACATTCTCTCCCATAAGCATTTTCTGCTTTTGACACTGTCTTCAAAACAATTTTTAAAACAATTTATGATATTCTATACAGTTGGTATACCATAATTTACTTGAGCATCATTTATTGATAGACATTTAAAGTTGTTTCAAATTTTTAAAAATTATAAATGCTGTAATTAAATCCTTCATGTATAAAACTTTTATTTCTCTATTGAATTTTTTTAGAATACATTTCCAGGATCCTACCAATGGGTCAGTGAATACTGATAATTTTATAGTTCTTGACAGTGTTGCACCAATTCATGATGTCACCAATGGTGACATATACTAATACCGCCATGACTGGTCCATAGTTACGGATTCCTTTTCTAAATCGAAGGTTGCAAACTCATGTTCCAAGGTCCACACTGGCTCACTGATGCCAGACGTCCACACAAGGTTTCACTACTCTTTTCATTAGGCTAGAGGTTTATTGTCATCAACTATTTCAATACTTTTACTTCGAAGAATATAGAAAAGTACAAATAATAAATCTAATAAAAAAACTATATACTGACTATTCAGTTAAACTAATCCTAACATTTTATATGATCAGTCTACTTTTAAAATAAAGAAAACATTAAACATTACATATTGTGTGCACTATTCTATTTCTCTCCCTTGTCAGAAGTTACGACTGTCTTGTATTTTGTATTTTTGTTTCCCATGTATGTAGAACATATGTTCTCCTATGTTACTATAACCATAAATGACATATTGTATTGTTTTCCACATTGGTAAATGTTATTTATGTGGTATTATTCTTTAGGATCTTCTGCATCTTGCTTTTTTGTTCACCATTGTTTTTGAAACATATCTGTGTTGATATATTAGCTGCAGCTCATCTATTTTAAGAGCTATCTAGTCCAGTGCTTTATTCACATAAAAATACATTTTACACTTAATCAAATGATGAGACAATAGCAGCTCATGTTCTTCCTTGGAACAACTGCCTGAGCTGTGGAGCAGTTGCTGCTGCTTACCTAAGGCATGTGACCTTTGACTGAACACGAGCACAGCCACCATGTGGGCTTTTATAGGGTAAGAGTCCTGGATCTGGGCCCTGCTGGCTCTCTTCTCACTGCGACCCCCCCCCCCCCCACGCACACACAGGGCCAGGAGTCACAGGGCCATGGCAATGCACCCAGACCGTTTCCGATCATGTTTCAGGATACCTGGGACCCATGAATTACCTTCCCCAAAGCCCTGGGCCTCTTCCTTCTCTGCTTCAGCTCTAAAGCATCTTAGTTTGTGCCTTGCCTCTCTCATTCTAAATCTTTGAAAATGTCCCAAGTTTTAAATGGAAATCAAGGTTGCTTTAAATTGTATTTTTCTTATTATAATCGACTTTTTCACATGCTCATTTTATCTGTAAGTGTGTACGCCTTGTTTTGTGTATTTGTTACTACATTAAATAATTACTTGTATCGACAGGAAGTCCCCTACTTGTGGAATAGACTTAGAGTATCTTCCTTGTTTCTCCAGGATGACCTGGACCACCCCAGTCTGAGGACACCCAAAGTCCAGTCTCCAGGATCCTGGACCACGCAGGGCATTCCAACCCAGGGCATTCCCACAAGAGCTGGTCCCGTCTGACAGGCTCATCCTCACTCTCAGGGCGTTGCCCTTCAGGGACCAGCCTTTGGAGAAGGGCCTCCTGGGGGCGTCCCAGCTTGCTCAGTCCCTGGGGTTATTTCTATTCATCTCACAGGAGCTGTCCAAAGGCCAGAGTCATAGTTCAGGACTAACAAATGCCCTCAAAGCGAAAGCTGCCACCCTGCTTATTTACCGCCCTGGCCTGCGAGTTCTTTACTAGCCTGTCAGCTCTTTAAGANTGGGCTTTCCTGAACAACAACAGCAACAACAAACCTCTATTCTTCCTATACATCTTCACTGAAATTAAAATCAATTGGAGAGCCATCGCCTACCCTGAATCTTAGACTATGAACTTTATCATGCCACTGGCAACACATGGCCAGGCTATGAATCCTAGTTAAAAGGCATGTATTTTGACCCAGTGACAGAATGATTAAAAAAAATACAGAAACCATCTAGTATAGTATTTACCTAGTTTAATAAATTTCACATCTTATCATTATAAAAAACCACATCCCAGAATAGCCACTAGGGAATTCCGGTCAGGAGGATGAGCTTGCCACGTAACTTCAGCCTCAATTCAGGAATTTGTGAGAATGTGTGTGTGTGTGTGTGTGTGTGTGTCTGTGTGTGTGTGTGTGTATATATATATACACACACACATGTATGTATACACATACGCAAATACAATATACACTAATATGACAATATAATATATGCATACATATTTATTTTTAATCTTGATTTTAAAGTTACTTAGATGGTACTCACTAAAGGGTCAAGATTTTTGGCAGGCTAAAACTGATAACTTTCTTCCCTTCCTGGACTGTAAGAATATGAGCATGAGTTCCAGGAAGTCTTGGTCACTAAACATAAATTTGGCCTCTTTTAAAAAAATCATTATTTTATTATGTTCTCTCTAAATCAAATGTTCTTCGTGACTTCTAGCCATTACTGTACTGGCACTGCCTGGGGACACCTGCATGGCTACCAGTGGGTTGGTAATTGCAGCAAAAGTAATTTTGCGTCTTGCTCCCATGTGACTAGCTGATGTAAGAGCACAGATATAAATCACTACTGGCAGCAGGAAAGTAATTAACTTTATAAAATTCAGCTCTCTCAGGATCAGTCCTAACCTCCAAAAACGTTGCCAAAACAAGAAAGTAGAGAACTCTGTATAAAGAATCATTCTATTATTCCCTCGGATTCCCTCTTGACGTGATATACTAAACGCTGCTAATGTATAAATCAAGGAAGAACAATTAGCAAAGTCATCAGTCATCTGCCCACACTCTGTATCACCAAAGTCGAGCATTTCAGATCTTTCCCCTTAGCTACGCTGATTAGGAAATAAAAATGTTTTCAGGACATTTTATGACTGAGGCCAAGACTGGAAAATACTTCACATCTGAAATCTTTAAGCATGATTAAAGACATTACTTTTCTTGAATACAAGAATGAATGAACATTTTGTAAAAACAATAAAACTCCAGGAGACGTCTGTGGTATAACACAAAGATAAACATTGATCTTTGTCCCAGGTCTCAGAGCTCCTAAAGCCCTTGAAATTTACTGTCTTTTGTGTGCTACTGAGATGACTCCTATGGGGTGGGGCCCTAGAAGCTTCAGGATGGGCGCTGGTCCCCAGAAAAACCAACCACAGGATTAGACATACAGCACTTCCCACCTCC